AATTTGTCAAATTTCAATAGTTAGAGGGTGAATCTTTCAATAAAAAATAGTTAGAGGGCGTTCGCGTCCTATATCTTGTTCCGTAGTTTAGGTTTTGAGAATCGGACTATCGTGTACATTGAAGGTTGAAAAATAAACTTTACGGATTAATCGATGGCTAGACTAACTCTTGATTTGGCAGCTTTTGATTAGTAGATAGGCCAATTCGATATTCAGAGATTTTAAGACTAGAAGTCTTTGGTCCCATTTGGATCCATCCAACCAATTAATAGTTTTGGTAGCTTAGAAAAACTAGTTAATAGGTAATTATTAATTGGGTGGTAGGTAGGACATTAGCGGACTTATTAGGTAATGATCCAAACAGAATCGCAGCTAATTATTAGCGGCTTGCTTATTAGTTAAGGATCCAAATAGAATCACAGCTAATTATTAGTTATATGAGATCCAAACAGATCCTTCATCTATTTGTTAAGAAGTCGCCTTGATTCAAACAATGTTGCTTAATTAGAAAATATGACAAGGGTGCTATATATACATGAACCAGGTTCAAGGTGGTGCCCAAAAGAAAAATCCAAAATTTCATACTACACTAATACATGTGTTATACAACTATAAACTTATATTTTCTATTATGTATATTGTATATTTTTCTACTTAATACATGTATAGTCATAAATCATGCTAATATTTTATTTAGATATAACACTTTTAGAAAAATATATGCTTAATGTCTAAGTTTGTAAAAAAATTCGGTGAAATTTCGATCAAAATTCGTGAAATTCGGTAATTTCGGTGGTGGTTGAAATATTTCTAAAACCAAAATTGAAAACCCTGTCATGAACTGAATTGTTTCAAAAGAACAACCCCAGACGTTTTTTCAAAAAAAAAATACAGTTGGAGAAGTTCCTTTTGTTTGAACATTGCCAAATCAATTCGATGTACTCGTCTAGGAAGCGAGACAGGAGTACCATATTTTGTACTGCAGGCATAGTAAACGCTGTACTTAGAACTAAATACGCGCGCCCTACCTGTTATCTGTAGCTGTCAGTAAACGAGGCACGGTTAATGCTAATGCATGATGCATCGAAAAGGACTGTGCACATGCATGCACGAAACAGTGCAAGTCCGGGAAAAAATCCCAAGCTGAGAGAAGAATAAGTCGGATCCACACCTAATCATGCTACACTAGCTAATGGCGACAGTTTAATTTTCACAAAAAAAAAGATAATAAACCCAATTAAAGTGACGGGTTTCCACACCTAATCATGCTACACTAGCTAATGGCTACACTAGCATGATGCATCGAAAAGGACTGTGCAACTTATTCGCAGGATCGTATTAGTCATACTTATCAATCATGATATAATATTTTTCTCACATAATAAAACAGCATCAATCGGCTTATAAACCACAGAAACGATCAAGCGAACAAGGTTGGTACACAGCTAGACGGACAACTCAGAAAGTAACGGATGTGTGTGCCTGGTGCCTGTTTAGTTCCCAAAATTTTTACAAAATTTTTCAAGATTATTCATTACATCGAATCTTTGGACGCATGCATGAAGCATTAAATATAAATAAAAAATAAAACTAATTACACAGTTTAGACGAAATTCACGAGACGAATTTTTTAAGCCTAATTAGACTATGATTAGACACTAATTACCAAATAACAACGAAAGTGCTACAGTACAATTTTCTAAAAAAATTCGCCAACTAAATAAGGCCCTAGTTAGCAGAAGAATGGAAATGTACAGGTCACTCCATCAATTATAATCTGGCTATCTTTAATTTACAGCCGTCAAATTTGAACAAAATTTGGAGGTACGTGATCCAGCAGTGAGTCCATCCAGTGCGTTTGATTTCCTTGTGGGACGATACGAAACGTGTATGAGCTGGTAAATTTTGGTGTTTTCCGAAGCAGCATTTGATTCCCTAGATTAAAAATTTATTTTCAGTAATAATAATCTGAATAATTTATTTACAGCTAGTCGGTCAATATACAAAATCTGTAACACTTAATATCCTCGGTCCTGTGCTTGTTGTTTACCCAATTTCTGCAGTAGCACGGACGTATCCATCCTCCAGCGATCAATCTGCTTCTCCTGATGGAAATGCATGTTTAGGCTGCTGTTCTAGATAAATTATCCTATATATATTTAATATCAGAAATGTTATACAACACATATGTGTTTTAGAAAAAAAAAACACATGGATTTTTTTGTATCTCTCTTCCTCTCTCTTTCTCACCGGTGACCATCGGTATGAGCTTACCAACAATCGGCGAAGCTGCCATCTCGCCGGCCGGCCGGCGCGCCGGCGCCCGCCTCCTCCCCGCCTCGCCCCGCCATGGCAATGGTGGCGTGGCGGATCTATGATTTGTCCTTCTATAAAAAAAATTGTGATATGTGATCTGTGATCTGTGGAGGCTGGAGGCGGGAGGTAGAAGAAGGATGGAGGCTGTTGGATCTTAATCTTATAGTGCCAAAAAATTTATGTGTTGAAACTACATAAAACATATGGTTGTGCAGTAGCCAGACTCATTTAATATATATTATTAGATTATGTGATCAAGCTAGCTAGCCTACTCCATTAACCATGATTTGTCATGATGTGCCATGTTCAGTTTGGCTGATAAGCTATGGCTGAAAGTACTGTTGGCTGATTTGGTGTGACAGAAAAATACTATTCATTATCTAAAAAAATACGATTTATAAGCCAAACGAACAGGACGATGACCCCTGCAAACCCATAGCTAGCTGTTCAACGGAAACGAGAGCTCGATTGTCTCCAGGTGCCTTACTGGAATTCGTGTTTCCTTGTGGCCGCTGCCCTAACACGTCATGAGTGTGCTGATATACTAATGCAGGCGCGTCATTTGTTTGTATATATATGCCTGACTGTCTCCAGTGCATACGTGTCCAAGAAACTCCATTTATATTTTGGCTGCCAAATGATGACCCGGCCAACTCTTGATCACCAGTTTAGTTTGGTTGTTGAGATTACAAACTCTACTAGCAGCGGAAACAAAAACAAAGCCATCACAAAAGGTTCTCAAATGTGTACAAATTTCAGTGGTTTTTTAGGCCTAACTCCGAGGAAGCGGCGGCCGCGCAGGGCTAAAATAAGCTCTTTCCAATGATTGGAAAACGCAGACAAATTTGTGTGCTGAGATGAAATGTTTGACGGCCCTGCATACTCGATCGCGAGGTGATTAGTACTAGCCAGCTTGGACGCGAGATGAACGGCCCACATGGAGCGGGGCTGGGACGGGGGCAGTTGCGCTTAGTTAGCTGGAGCAGTCAACGCTCCTCAAACGGACACCTAGATTCCGTTAACTTGATGAGTACAATGATTTTCTTACTACGACCTGGCTAGGGGTACATGTGGGAAGACCCCAAACATGTTTCTAGTTCATGTTTTGCCAATTGGTTTTTCCATGCCAACTGCCAAGTAAACAAAGATGAACCCAATTTGTAAAATTCATGTAGTCATCAGTTGTGCTCGGTTCAAATTTTGAAAAGTGCTTCTACTACTAAAAATCAGAACACCAACTAAATAGGTAGAACCAGAAGCTGCATTTTCAGCGCAGTACAATTTTCACACCTTAGACTTTCCTTTTGGCTTTCAGCTTTCTGCTAAATACGTGAAAATGGAGGTACACTTTACAACTATTTCAAAGAAGATAAATAAAGAGAGAGGATATGTTTCATTGTTATTTTAACCAAATAGCTTACAAAATTTTCATAGCACATAGCTCTCCGTTGTTTTTTCACATCTCACCACTGAACCAAACGGACTTGTACTAGATTCTTAAAGTATATTATATCTCCATCCTAAAATGAATATAACCATTTTTAGGAGTCAAACCATTTAAATTTTGATCAAATTTATATATAAAAAGTAGTCCCTCTATTCAAATTGTAAGAGCTTTCTTAGATACATTGTTTTTGCTATGCATCTAGATATAGTATATATCTAAGTGAATAGAAAAAACAATGCACCTAAAAAAAGTCAAAGCGTCTTACAATTTGGAATGGAGGGAGTACTATTTTCTATGATATCAAATAAGATCATTAAATTAATTATAGAATATATTATTATAGTAATATTATCTGGAGACATAAATATTGTTACTATTTTTTTATAAATTTGGTCAAATTTAATGAAATTTGACTGCCACAAAATCTAGAATTATATTTTTTTGGGCAGAGAGTAGGTATACGCATGACTAACAATATACAAAATTAAATTAACTTTTTTAAATGTAAATACCGAAAAAATGTATTACATCCACGCACAAAGTAGCATCCCTCCATAGAACAATATGGTTGCAATAAAAATATTAGCAATGGCCTCTAGCACAGAGCATGTGGTTTATCACAGTTTTTTTGTTGGAACCGTGATGGGTGCACGTATCAGAATGGGTAAAGGGACCACGAGAAAAATACAAAACAAAATAACAATAATATACTTGACTGAAATGAAAGGAGAAAATTGCAGAGCAAACTCCCGGCGCAAGCAGACCTCACTCATCTGGATTTCGGCGACATATACTGGAGGGAGAGAATCCAAAGCCCTCCTTTGTGTTTGTCTCTTCCTCTCTCTCCTCCCTTCTCCCTTGCTGTGGGTGTGCTGTGGAGAGGAGAAAGGAAGGAGAGCAAGAACCAACACCAACAAGAGCTGCTGCCAACTCCTGCACAGCCTGGGCTCTCATCACTGATTGCCCACCTATTACCTTCCTCTTTTGTGATTTAGAATCACCCATCTATCCCTTATATATCTACCTTTTCTCGGTCCTCTGTGAACTCTCTCGTCTTCTAGGTTTCACAGGCCTCAAGATAGGCCTCTGGACCTAAGCTTGCAAGCAGCTGCTGTTCTTGGTTTTCTTGATTCTTGGTTTCGTGGTTCTTGGATTTTTGGGTTCTTAGGTTTCTTGTATCTTCCCCCAATCTTGCAAAATCTTGTGGTGAAGTTTCTTGTGTTCGCTGTTTGGGACGATGGACGAAAGGATTCCGCCGCCGTCCCTCTTGCAATATTCGCAGTCCCCTGTTCATTCTTCCCCTCATCCCCTCAATTCTATGAGGTATTCTTCCTCTGATAGAGAAAGGTGAGTGTCTGTTTCGCTATTTTGTTCATGATTTTTTTATTTGTTTTCCACGATTGTTTTCCCTATTGTTCTTGGTAAGTTTTGTTTAGTTTTTGATCCTGCCCTTTCGGAATCTTTCTGAGGAGCACGAGATTTGATGCCGCGGTGGAGATTTGCGCTTAATTCTAAACTTCCGGATGCCATGTTTCCCCTTGATCAATGCTGTCGATTGTGATGGAGGAATGATCTGTAATCTAGGGACTTTTTTTTTTTTTTGTGATGGCGTGATGGCTCGCTGATAGATTTGTTACTGCTGTTCCCCAATGGGCTAGTTGGCTACTAGGGGGACATAGGAGCTGTATGTTTGACTCGCTGCTAATGGGTGTAAATTTTGTGTGTAATAAATCGCTCATTGGCGATATTCACATGTAAATTTTAATTTGATGGATCGTTCTGTATAAATCATATCAAAGTTCTTCCTTTTACATTTCATTTCTGTGGGATTATAGTTGTTTTAGATCCTTCAAATTATGCTTCTTCTTTTGTATCACGTGAATAATAAATTCAGTATTGGCTGCTGTTATACTAACGTTGATTCTTGTTTGGCAGATATCTGGCTGAGTTGCTTGCAGAGAGGCAGAAATTGGCCCCATTTGTGCAAGTTCTTCCTTTCTGTACCAGGCTCTTGAACCAAGGTTTGTTTCCTGTGCCTCCACGCATTACTAGTGTTGTTAATCTATATAGTTTTTTTAATTAGTTCAACTATTTTGTTTGTTAATGGTGCAAGACATTCACTATCATTAGTTACTATGTTCAGATTTTCTCCAAGTCTTTTAGGTTGGGGCAGTTAATCGTATATTTGTGTGAAGTTTTGATGATTGCCTCTGCACTTTTGTATCCTTGGGTTTGTTATGATCATCATGTATTTTACTATTTGTTGATCATAAGATTTCATTAGAGGATTTTTTTTTTGGGGTTTGTTGTTCATTCATTTCTCATGTATCCCATTATCCTGTTTCCTTTTACTTTGTTTATGGTGATAAAAAGGTAATGCTCCATTGAGTTATGGCTCCAAACAATAACTCATGTTCTCATAGTTGACAATGGCTTCCGTTTATGTCAACCACAAATGGCTGCTAACAATCTAGTAAATGGCTGCTGTTTATGTCAACCATTTTTTTTTTATCTTGAGGATGGTCACTGGTTCACTGCAGCTTATTCCTATTTTTAGCTAAGTGGAGTGTTTACTATCTCATTGGTACAATCATAGGACTGGGTACAATGCAGTTTTTCATGTCATTGTACAAATTTAGAAATCCCGAGCAGGTTGCATTTGCCCCATTTTAGAGTGGCATGCAAAGTATTAATCTCATTATTGTTTCTGACTTATAGTGTAGTTGTCTAACTGAGTTCTGATTCTATTTAATGCAGAGATTTTGCGTGCATCTTCTATGGCGCCTAACCATAATTTTGTTGATCCTGAGAGAATTGATCATGGTAGCCCATTAAGGTTACCTGGCCACCCAGTGAATGGTCAGCCAATGGATCTGGAGGGCTGGTCAGGGATGCAAACAGAGGTGCATATTCTGTCATCTGTTGTTGTTGGTGTCTTTCTTTTGGTATTACATGCTTGCCTGGTCACTGGATTGAAAGCACAATTTGCAAATCGGTGGTAGGATCTTGCGTATTTAGATTTTGAGCATGCTGTTCATTTTACATTGGATCTGCAACTAATTTTGACTAGTCTGGTCTACCGATAGAATAGATATTGGCTTGTAAATTTTAATAACATGAGATAGAGTGAAGATTATTTTTCCATGTCAGATTTTATTCCTGGCAATCGTGAAGCGTCCTGTTACTATTAATGGATGAGAGTAGGTGTTGATAGAAATATTTTTTGTTGAGGACCAAACTTTTATATTCTGCCTTAGCTTATATTGCTGCCTTCTCTTAATACGGTCAAATGTTCTCTCTCTCAAGGCTTCTCAACATATGGGGGTTCTACAAGCATCATCAATGGGCTGGAATGGTGCTCCTGTACTTGCTGCCACTCCTATTGTCAAGAAAGTCATGAGGCTGGATGTTCCGGTGGACAAGTATCCTAACGTGGGTAGCTTTCGTAAATGCTTTTCTTTTAGCTTTCTTTACTGTGCTATGTCATATTGCCATATCTTGAATGCTTTACTCTTTGCTTTTGATCAGTACAACTTTGTTGGTCGTTTATTGGGGCCGCGAGGTAACTCCCTGAAAAGAGTTGAAGCTTCAACCCAATGTAGAGTTTACATTCGAGGACGTGGTTCGGTGAAAGACTCTGTTAAGGTAGCTAAATGACTATTTCACGTTCTTTCTTATATTTCTGATAGTAATGATATCACTGGCTATAAATTGGAATCATTTGGCACTTTTTGAATGTACCATGTATTGTTGCAGTACTCCTTTATGTGAAATGTTAGGAGTTCATTATATTTGCACATTATTAAGTAGCAAATACTTAGTTAATTTCACTTTTGGCTGGACAAACTTGTATATGGCATGGCTCATATTATGACAAACCTGTGGCTGGCCCTTACTGATTTGTGGTTATATACTCAGTTAATTTCACTCTTTCACATTACATAAAGTTTGTATTGTGACTCCATGCTATGATAGTGGCATTGGAGGAGTTCTGGAGAATTCTAATCAAGGTTAACATTGTACATTTTATTTTAAGTGTCAACTGATTGAGTTGTTTCTAGTATCAAGCTGCAATCTGGGCTCAGTAAGGATCCATTTACTATTTAGGAATAGTTACTGTGTGACCCACAAAACTATGTAATGTCAACATTTAAATTTTATTGGGTTTCATTTCCAGTTTAGATGTAATATAGCATTTAAAGTTAAAGTTACTAATAAGTTGAGTAGAAATGTATTGAGTATTTATGTGATGCAGTTTAGATACATTTATATAATGACTTTATTTATTCTCTATCGGCACACAACACTATGATTTCATCAATGGGGTTTCCTGTATTTTACTATAACTTACCTCAAAATATCTATAGGCATTAACGAGTTTCAAGTTATTACAATTTACCCTTGGTCTCTTTTTTTTTTTAAATGTAGCAGCTAAGAAAGGAGTAAGATATTATGATCATGGTTTTGTTATATCTTGTGCATGGCTCAGTGATTATTGGTACATTACTTCTTTATACTTGTAATTTATCATGCCCACCCTGATGCAAATGTCCTGAAAAACATGTATGATTTCATTCATAGGAAGACAAGCTGAGGGATAAACCTGGGTATGAACACCTTAATGAACAACTGCATGTGCTTGTGGAAGCAGAGTTTCCAGTAGATATGGTTGATGCGCGCCTAAATCAAGCTATCTCCATCCTAGAGGATCTTCTTAAGCCAATTGTATGTACCCTCGTTGCTCATTGCTGCCATCATCTCTTAGTAGTTTTGATATATACTGTTAGCTAATAGCTGGAGCTTTTGTTAGGACGAGTCCATGGACTACTACAAGCAGCAGCAGCTGAGGGAGCTGGCAATTCTAAATGGCACACTGAGAGAGGAAAGTCCAAGCCCTCTCCTCAGCCCTAGTGTGTCCCCCTTCAACTCCACTGGGATGAAGCGCGCAAAAACAGGGCGGTAATCTCTGTTCTGAAAGCTTCATCCCCCCAAATCAATCATGGTTCAATGCCCAATTACAAGCTACTGCTGTACTGCTGGAGATGATTGGTGATGCATATGCTGGGATCATCAGTGCTGCTGGCCTACGCCTGTCATGATCTATGCGCTTTATCGACACATAACATGTCTGTGCTTGGATGAATGGTCTCTGGGCTTGTTGTTTGACTCTTATTATTTATTCTTTGTGCTTCTGACTGCCTAAGTATTATTAACGTTATTGGTTGGTTTGGGTAAGTTAACAAGGCCCGGTTGGCCAGTCACTCTAGAAGCTGGGGGGGTTCGATGTGTCGGACAATAATAAGGTTTCGTTGGTGTACCTGAGATAGTTGTAATATGTCACTGTGCTGATGCTTTTGTGTGGTGCTAGTACAAGACAACCAGACAGCTATAGTTGAGGCAATGATTATTTTGCATTCATAAAATACGGGTTCTTGTCGTGCTTTCTTCATGGTTCATCTACCTGAAATCAGTGTAAATTCTCTGTTTGAGCTGTTTTGTGTGTGCCAAATGTAATGGTGGATAGAGGTGCACTATATAGCTTAGCTGCAAGCTTTTGTTTCCATGTACCATGGGCAGGTTGTGGCCAAGATCTCACGTGCAGGACGGCAGTTCGGGCCATTAAAGTGCCGGCAGGCCAGGGCTACAGCCTACAAGACCTGCAAGTGGGGCGCAGAGCCGATCTGGCATGAAAGGCCAGTGCAGGTGCGGCAGCAGAAAGAAAGGCTCAATCATTCGCACGGGCGTTTTCGGGACCTTGCCAGGGCAGCCGCTTCGCGGAAAACGTCATGGATCTTTCACTGGATTAGCGCCACCTTTTTCGCTGTGGTCCACGTCCACCCATGAATCAGCAATTGCTTTTGAGTCTTGCAAATTCTCATCGGTTCACTTCTTTTAGACGATAGTACTCGTTTGATTTGGTTGGTTTGAAATTGACATGCCTTTTGAGATTTATGGAGAGCTTGTATTTCAAAAATAACAATGTTTGGTTTTTGAAATATATGCCTTGTATTTCATGCAGAAAGAGTAGACAGAAATATAGGCACCGTACAAATCACATATTCACATGTTCGACCTCTTGTTTAGATCATCTAGAGCTTATTTTTAACGGCCTGTTCGCTCGGTCGTATTCGGCTTATCAGCCAACGAACAGTACTTTTTTCTCACACCAAATCAGCCAACAGTACTTTCAGCCATGACTTATAAGCCAAATAAATCCAAACGAACAGGACGTTGGTTTTAGTGCTTGAGCAGGATAGGACAAACAGGCAACCATTGTAGGAATACCAGATGCCCGACGAATGGACTATGACTCCAAGGATAACTATCAGTTCTATTATGATCGAGTAGCATGGAAGAAGACGATTTCGCTGTCGTCTTATTCGACAAGCTGAAATGGACAGGTGCGTTAAAATGACACTAATCAATTGCAGCCTCTCCCATTGAGTAGCAAACACCAGTTTTAAAATTTTCTGAAACACCAGCTGCATTTCGCTTTCTCCCAACGTCGGAATCGTTTGGACTTTGCACCATTATAGAGGGGGCGCGATCGTGCTCAACATTGATTCCGCGAAATCAGGATTTCCTTCAGCAAGGCAGCAGCATTATTGACGTTAAACACAACACAAAACAAAACGGCATGATTAAGTTGACAAGACGCAGAAGACTAGCTTCGGTCAACATATGGGCGCGACGATAGAAAAATACGTCCTGCCAGATATTTCGATACGAAAAATACTGGCGCTCTCCAGAAGCACACAAGGGTTTCGACGGCAACGGCGACGTCGTGGGTGATATTTCAATTCAAGGCGCCGTCGCGATCACATGGTGTCGCACCCCAGCACATGGCTGGAAAACTAATGCTTTTGAGCATCGGCATCGACAGGCCAGAGTATCGGGCAGCGTATCATATGAATCGCTAAAAATATTCGCTGAAACAGCAAACGAGCATAAGGCCAGTTTGGTTCCCACGGACACAGAGGCACGTGTAGTGCCTCGACAAGTTTTGGCTTCTGACTATACGCAGTTCCTATATGTGCTGCTTGCTCTACATCCGCCTCCACTTGTCGATCTCCTTTGGTGTTGCTTTGATCAGCTTCCTCGTGCTCTCCATCAGTTCATCAAACATGATATCAAACTGTTCACTGCAAAATACGCGGCAAATCTCATTAAACTAGGACATAGCATGTGCTAGACTGTTGTAAATTGGTGCGTACACCGCGTGTTTACAAATTCACCAAAAGCAAACTTGGGCAGCACACTTTGATATCTCTAATCGATTCAAATTTGAAACTACTCGCAAGAAAAAACTCATGCTAAAGAATGCAATCAAAATAACAGGAGATTAAGTCACTTTGCATTTAGCATGAAACGGATCTGTCACTACTTACTCGTAAGCAATGCTTCTGGAGTTCTGAAATGGTCTCCTGATGTTCGAATACCTTCCTCTTTCATCATATGCAACGCCTTTTCCAAAGCCATAACCAAAACCTATTCCTATTCCACATCCAGCTCCAGCTCCAAATCCCAACTGTAAACCAGGGAATCCAGCTCCAATTCCTGCACCTGTTAAGATATGTAAAAGTTAGAAATAAACAGAGCAAGAAAACTGGAGATTCAGTGTTATGTCAGCCAACCGATCATCCAAACTAAGATGGGTTCTGCCATTCTAAAAGTGAGAAGAGACAAAACAAGATAATTGGAGATTTTGTTCCACCAGAACATCCAAACTAACATGCAATCCGCTGTTCCCAATCATAGTGTTACAATGTTCTTGGAAATGGTACCTATTCTGTCATTCTGTGTGAAGTTCACTTCAGCCTCTAATGGAGACATAAATCATATACATAAAATAAAAAGGGCAAAGACCAAAGAATGCATACAGACATAACTTAAGTTACTCACAATCACAATAAACATTATGCATAGCCAACAAAACCACAACATTAAAAACGAGCACAGAGTACAGACATCAATGATGACAATCACTTCCCATCAAGTACATCCAATAATATCTGCAATGGAATTCAGAACTCAATACAATATAATATATTGCTGCACCTGCTACACTTGCTGCCCCACTCCTAAAATAGGATCAATTTGAGAATAGCAGCGGGACACATGACTAAACAGTAAACACATTATCAAACCGAAGTTGATCATGACATCTCTTAATTCATCAAGAGCTGGGTTTGATGGGGAAGTTTGTATTTTTGGATGAAACAACTGTTGATCTCTGAGATATTCAGTCTCAATTCAGCTTCAGCACCCATCTGCACCAGTAGAAGTTCCTCCTTTTTTTAGTCCTCAACCTACTTCTTAAGGTCCACCGAGGGATGCCTACAACGAGAAGACTCACACGACTCTCTACTCTGTTTGCCATGATACTCTAGGAAGTCATTGGCACTAGTTGTTTCCACAAGCCCCTGCACCCACACAAGTAAGCAGATGATTCTTGTTTGGTGGTTGAGGATAACCACGGAATCAGGGCTGGAGGCACACACTACTCCACGTCCTGTTTCGATGCCTGCGACCGTGCGGATAGGCTCTGTTGAGATTATGGGGTGGTGCTTGCGTACAAGCATCAGCTCGTTTAGAGCACAAAAGCAATAGGAGTATTCATAGTTAAAAGCACTTTATTACTCGCATAATTTTGGTTCATATGCTAACATATCATGTAGTCATTGCAGATTGAAAGGATATCCAGAAGTGAATTTCTAGCTATGGAAAGTACTAGAAACCTGAGGCTTGTTTCTAAATGCATGTTTCATTACTAGTGGCTTCTTGATATTATTAACACGACTGTGCAACCTAGCGAGATATTTCGTTTGATGTAAGTTACCACCCCTTTGTGACCATTTCTAGCTACACCACTGACTGGGACCAATGTAGAAGTGGCAAGATGAGGCGGCCATAGGCAGCCGGCGGAGAAGCATACATCTGCTATGGAACAGGATACTTCAACAGATGGTTGAGGCCGCAGCATGAGGCGGAGGTTGCGGCTGCATTCGATGGAAACACAGATTATGCGGTCTGCATCTTGCTAGCAGATTGAAGAACCCTGCTCCATGACACCATGATCAATTGTAAAATCTATCCATGATTTCACCCTCCGATGCCGTATAGAGAAGTATGCAGCGAAATAGTAGCAATTTCCACCATTGCCACCATGTCACCTAATCCAATGATATGACATATATCTATAAGGGGCGCCTCTGCGCACAACAAGCGCAGATTTCTCATTCGATCAAAAGAGAAGAAACAAGCATGGATTTCGACGCTTTGTTGGCAGTGAACCGGAGCCCCACGCTTTCGCCATTTGTTTGGGTTGGCTAGACTGATCCTGAAGAGGAATCAACTCCCTCCCGAATCCCATTCCATATACACCAATGACACGGGGAAAAGTAATAGTATATCACAACAATTCCAAATTTCCAGTGATTGCAACTCTAACAGCGAACCCCCAAAAAATAAATACACGGCTCTCGGATTAAAAAAATCTAACCGGAAATAAGGGCCCCTAGCTCAACCGTCAAAACCATCGAGAGCCCTCCAGTTCGCCGGTCTGATCCGTGAACGCGTCTATGGTCGCGACACTAGAAGCAGGATGAGTAAACGTCGGAGAAGGGTACGCACCTCCGATGAGGCCGAAGCCCACGCCCACGCCGCAGCCGGCGCCGATGCCGAAGGCAGGGCCCAGCTTGCCGAGCACATCCGACCTCGCCACGGGGAGGCTCCACACAAGCCGTCTCCTCCTGCCGCCCGACATCTCTCCCCGCCCTCTTGGTGCGCGCGCCCTGCGCAGTGCGCCCCAACCTTCCGAGCAAGGGGAGGATAAGTTCCAGACCAGACGTCTCGAGACGACTCCCAGGCGGCCAGGCCCCAGCGCGTCCCGGGCTTCCGGGCCCGTCGCACCGAACAGGACGGGAGATGAGAGGCCGAGAGGGGCCTTGGCCGCGCGCGCCTCGCCGCCCGATGGACCCGCAACACGTGCGCGCGAAGGGACAGAAAGCCGACGCATCGTGGGCTAAGGCCCATTCGTTAGTTGCCACTTACCACTTCCGCTAATGGAACAAGAACAAAGGATAGGACCGGCCCAAGCGGGCCTCTTAATCAACGCGACCGTTAGGAGCAGTATCAATACGCGCGATTCCTTCTCCTTCTTTCTCCACGTGTTCTTCTTCTTCTTTCTCCTTCCACATCCTATCTTGCCCCGTCGTCACCAGCCTCCACCGTCATTTAGGCCACTAATGATCCACCTCCCGCCGATGACGTTAGAGCCCCATCTTTTCCTAACCTCTATCCTCTCTTTTACCGTGCTACCCCGCCACTGCCACCGCCTCCGTCGTCCTAGCGGCTAGCGACCTCATTGCCTTCATCCTAGTGACACCCTTCCCTAACGCTATGGTTGATCGCCCCGTCTGTTAGACTACCTCCACCACCGAGCCAGCCGTCGCAGTCGGGCCCGTCCCCCTTCTAAGTCCGTCAGACATAGAGACCCCCCTTGGTTGTGTCCCTCTTTGTTAGGCAGAGCCTAGAAGTACCTTTTCAAGGCTTTGTATAATCTTGATGTAATGCTTTGAGAATTTAATACTCCCTCCATTTCAAATTATAAGTCGCTTTTGATTTTTTTATTCATCCATTTTGATACCTATCTAGACATCTTATTATATCTAAATGCATAGCAAAATGAATGTAAAAAAAGTCAAAGCGACTTATAATTTGGAATGGAGGAGTAATAGCTTCCTTTATCAAAAAATTGAAAAAATAGAGATCCCCCTTGGAACCCCAAAATCTCTAACCCTAATCGCTGGGAGGAAGAAGGCGGACAGGAGGAAGCCGTGCGTGCAGCGTACGAGCGTTGTATAAAGATTTTTGCCAGCCACGACAACTATGAAGTGCGTAACACTATACAGTAATGTGTTCGTACATGAAACATATCCATACGTTACTAAGTGCTCTATGCTGACTCCGAGACAAGTTTTTCTTTCTTTCTTTCTTTTCTTGATACAAGGTCTTTGACAACTAAAAAGATGGTAGGATAACTAGATGGAGGTGAATATGCTATTTAAAATTTTAGAAGGCACAACACTTAACAACCTTGTTAGACAATTAGAAGACCTTAATAAGCACAACTCAAACCTAGTATAACAAGAGCACCACCTAAATAACCTAGGAGCAAGGCTAAGCAACCAGCAAGTTACCCAAGCAAGCTCCTGCACAATTCTAGTGAATGAAGTAAACAACAAGCTAATCACTAGAGCACACAACCTACACAAATTAAGCTACACAACTAATCGAGCTACTCTAGGAAGTAACTACACAAGCAATCAAGATGCACTCTAGGAAGCAACTACACAAGCAATCAAGATGCACAAGTAATTGAGTAGTACTCCCTCTGTCCCTAAAAATAGAGTCATTCTCGTTGCCTAAAAAGTCAATAACTTTTAACTTGAATTAATATATTTAACAAAATATTAATATTTATGGTGCATAATTAGTACCATTAGGTAGATCGTTGAATATATTTTTATAATAAACTTATTTGGAGATATAAATGTTGCATGCATTTTTTATAAACCTAGTCAAAGTTGAGAAAGTTTGACCAACACGATTTCCATAGCGACTCTTTTTTAGGACAGAGTGAGTATAACGCAAACCGCAAATGAGATAATAATGAGAATGATTTCCCTCGATGTTTGGTTGTTTGCCGACAACTTACATCCTCATTGAGGCGAGTCCAAGGATCGATGTTCCTCCATAAACCTAGCAAGCCCTCAAGCTTGGCCCTAACATGGGCGCTTGTTTATGAGCCGATCGATCAACTAGGCACTCCTAGAAGCCTCGATTCCATTGGAGTTGCAAGGATGAGCACTAAGTCCCTCATAAATCCACCGTCTGGAGCCCCCACGCAATCACCAAGCGGTGTTCAACGGACCTTGTTACCTCAAAGCTGTCTAGATGGCGGCAATGACTAAGAGTAATAAGGTGGTGTTTGGATCCAGTGACTAAAATTTAGGAGGTGTGTCGGGAGGATGTTGCATGGGGTGTTCGGATACTAATAAAAAAATAAATTACATAATCCGTCAGTACTCCACGAGACAAATTTTTAAGCTTAATTAATCCGTCATTAGCATATGTTTACTGTAGCACCACATTATCAAATCATGGACTAATTAGGCTTAAAAGATTCGTCTCATAAATTAGTCGCAAACTATGCAATTAGTTTCGTAATTAGTCTATATTTAATACTCCATGCATATGTCCAAACATTCGATAGGACAACGACTAAAATTTATGAGAGACAACCAAACACCACCTAAGAAATCCACAACAACAACAATCCTCTAGTACCACTAGATGCTAACTCTCAAATCAAATGCACGAGATCACTCCCAACTCACAAATTTGTGATCACAAGTGATTATGTGAGTGGAGTGTGTTCTTGAGCTCTAATAGGTGTGGATATTTGAATGGAATGCCAAGAAAGCTAACAAGCTTGGCCACGACCTCAATTTAGGCCCCGTTTAGATGCGAATTTTTTTTGCTTTTGGCTACTGTAGCACTTTCGTTTGTATTTGGTAAAAATTGTTTAATTATGGACTATTTAGGCTTAAAAGATTCGTCTCGCCAATTACGAATAAACTGTGTAATTAGTTATTCTTTTTACCTACATTTAATGCTCCATGCATATGCCGCAAGATTTGATGTGATGAAGAATCTTGAAAATTTTTAGATTTTAGGTGGGGTCTAAACAGAGCCTTATAAGCGACTCTCGAGAACTAGCTGTTACCAACTAACTGCACAGAGAACATACCCACTAGGTATCTCTAGTGAGCACCGGAGCTTCCACACGGTAGAGCTCCAACAGCTATCTCGAGACATTTATAGCGTGTTTGGTTTGTTGATGAGGGGAGCCTGACTCGCATCTGTGAACTAGGCTCTCGCTGGCTTCAGAGATGCAAGTTGTTTTTATTTGGTTGTCTGCACATAAATATGATGTTTTTGTTTGCCAGCATAAAGTCGTATTATATGAAATAAAAATAAAAACAAGAGATCTTATAATATTTAACTTGTGTAACTGCACTCTATAGTCCATATTTTACTTTAATATCTTAATCTGCTTTAAAATACACTAGTATCACTTAATATATATTAACCATATATTGAGAGCATCATTAAGACACTCTGCGCTGCACCCTGTGAGTTAAGCACACCAAAAATGTAAATGAAATCCGTACCCGAGGAGCCAAGCTCCGGACTGCCTTATGTATCTAGAGAGTTAGGTACTGACTCTAACGTGAACAACCAAACCTTTCTAATTTCTAAGGCACTCTTCGGCTTACCTTAAATCTGATTTGTTCGGTTTTTTTTTCTCCAGCAGAAATAGTGTTTTTCTCTCATCACATTTTAGCCAGAACAGTGTTTTCAGCAAGATTCAGCAAGTCGAATATTTGGAGAGCCTGGATAGACAAGAACCAAGCAACCAAACAGGCTATTATAGGGTCGAGATGGCGGACTAGAGGAGGGTAAATAGTCCTTTCTAAAATTAATCGCGTCGACTAACTAAAACAAATGCGGAACTAAAACTATCGGTCTAGCCAAGACTACAACCCTCTATCTAAGTTCACAAGCACCATATAAGGATCTTAATTGGACAACAAAGGTGCCGGGCTAGCTAGAGCTCACCTAACAATCAGAGCTTGCAAGATCACACAAATCTATGCAACTAGTACTCAAACAACCGGGGGAGCTCCTACACAACTATGATGCAAAAGCACAAACCCACATAAGTTCACTAGCAATGCTCAATAACAAGGCTATACAAGCCAAATTATAGAGCGTAAATTACTGAGCTACATAAACTAAGCAATGCGACTAATAAGGTTACTCAAGCTAATTAGTCACGCAAGGGATCTACTTCTATGCTACACAAGTAAGAAGGTAACTAGCAAGCTACACAAGCTAACTAATTATAAGAGCAACTACACAAGCATAATAGTCCCGTTCACTGGTCTGAAACCTGGCTGAAAAATACTGTTTTCGGCTGGTTTGTTGTGAGAGAAAAACATTGTTCGGCTGGTTTGATGAACAGTAGTTTGTGAGGGAGATCAGCTGGCTGGCTGGATGAGTCCAGACCAGCGAACACCACCAATATATGAAAAGTAAATACAAGCTTGTGTAAAGGGGATGCAAACCAACGGAAGGACAAGATTGACACGATGATTTTTCTCCTGAGGTTTACGTATTTGCCAATACGCTAGTTCCCGTTGTGTCGACCGCTCACTTAGTGGTTCGGTGGCTAATTGGCATCACCCGCCAAGCCCACACGTTGGGCACCGCAAGAACCTACCCCAAACGTGAGGGTGGCTCAATGACACGCTCTACTAGAGTTGCTCTTCGCAATCCCCACGGGGCGAACACAGTACCCCTCACAATCCGTCTCTGGAGCACCGCACAATCTTCTTGCATGCTTCGTGGAGCCATAAGCCACCAAGCCGTCTAGGAGGTGGCAACCTCCAAATGTAACAAGCACCACCGGCTTGCAACACGAACACCTAGTGCCACTCGATACAATCTCGTAATGCAATCGCACTACAATCACTCACTCGTAATCGGATCACACTCTTGCAAGCACAAGTGAGTTAGAGGGCTTCTAAGCACTCTCAAGTATGGACACTAAGTCCTCCAATGTGCTCAGCTGTGGCAGAATCTCCTAAATTATAGGGCCCACATGCACCTGTCACTGTCCAACGACCTTTGACATCT